GGTGAACATTATATATGGTGGTAAATTATTGGAACTTTAGGATGCAAAGATTGATAGCATCCCAAATTTGGCCGGCTATCTGTACTGCCTAATTAAGAGACGAATAATCACTTATCCTAATTTTCAGTTTGCACAGAATTGTGTCGGTAGGTCTGGTTTAGCAAGCTTAAGAACATGATACAGTGTTCTACAAATGCAGAAGAATTAAAAGCTATAGCCATCACAAGTGTTTTCGAAAAATGAATACAGGAAAGATGACAACCAGTAGAATAATAGTCAGTCATTCCAAAAACACTGAATGGACAAGTGAATGAATGAAAATTCAGAAAGCGTGGGCCAAGCCAAAGTTAATGACGTAGTCTGCTATGATGAGAATGATCGAAGTTGTAACAAACCGGGCCACTGCAGATAGCGCGGAACTTGTGAAATTGGGTGTTGCCATGATAGAATATTGGTAGCATACATCTTTGATACAGTCACACTATATTCACTGGGCGTTAAATTCACTATTGATATAAAAGCGGTACAGCAGAGACCGTGTGCCAAACACCGTAACCTGTTTCATATTACTACCAAACAACCAGTCATGATAGGCCAAATTGTCCACTATTTTACCATTGAAAACAATTGAATTTCACGATTATGAGACAGTGTCAAATAATTTAGTCCAACTTCATTAAACGAAAGTACTTAAGTACTTAGTATATCTTCGCTCCTAAACGGCCACTCAAACAAAAAATACTCCTATTATCTGCTGAAAAGTATGTCTTAAAGCTTTGTCAGCCGAGCAAAGAGTCTCAAGGATGCCTCAGCCTGTTAAGGGGATCACGCTAAGAAGCTGCAAGATGTTGTTACGTCTTTTATATCCTCTTAGCAAAAAACCTTATCGTCTTGTAGTCCAAATTAATTTGAATTTAATGAGACATTCAAAATCGTTTGTGAAAATATCTACTTGTAATGTGAGAAAGACCAACTCAGATTAAAATAACGAATGTACTCAATAAAAAAGTAGACACGGCACCATCGAGTATCCATGTCTTATTCATTCTACAGCGAATTCCACAGGATTAGGCTGCCTCAGCTCTTTAGGTGTGCCTGAGAGACATGTCTGACCTACCCTGCTTTCTTTTGGTACGTATATTTAGGCTTGCACACATTAATGTACTGAAGCTCTGGACTTGACCATTGCCCTCAAGAAAAAATCAGCAGTACATCTCCTACATGATCATGGTTTTGATTTCAAATAGCTGAGATATCTGGAAACTGTATTCCGTTTCTCCATTCAGGGCACACTGGATGCACCTAAGTTAACAGGTTCAGCACTAATTGTCAGAAACTTTAAATCACCTTCAACATGGTGTATCAAGCTTCGTGGTACCGTTACCACTCATTTAATTTTTGAGGATATGTTACACTCAACTATTGCATCACTAGGGAAGCTGATGCCACTTTCAGCTTAAGCAAAGCGTTCTGCTTGCAAGAAGGATGTGGTAAGAATTTAAAGGATGCAATTTAGAGATTATATCCCTGCAGACTGTGAATACTAAGTGAATTAGGTATGCAATGTTAGGCCTGCTAAAAGCTTCCATAGACAACATTCTGGGGGGGGGTTAAAATTTCTTCAGTTGCATCAAATGTTATAAACAGCACTTGACGTTTCTACGAAGTTCCTTTTCTTGTATTTGATAAAGCAGTCAAAACAAATCACACAGATCAATGTGAGATCTTTTAAAAAATCCTTGGCAAAGTAGATGACCACCGTAAATCCTGCTACTGCTGTCATTCAAGTTTAATATAACTTTGGTATTTTTCATGAAACAGAGTACCTGCAATTATGTAAGAGGAAATTACGGGTTTTTCAATGTAAGTTTGAAAACACCAGTATAAATTTATCCCTCAAAATATGTGAATAAAACTTTCTATAAGCTTTTCGCTTTTTCCTGTTTTGAAAAATGCAAAAATCTAGTTAGAAACGGCAAGTATAACGCATGAAATTTATCCCCATTCCATAAATCAGGGTTAAAATAACTGATGTTTGAGAAGACAGGATTCACTAGTCTACTGATTACAACTATGCAACCATGCCTATCTGGCTTCAACATAACAGGTTACCAACTAAGCAGATAAATTCAACAGTTACTGCACAGCCCGCAGATAAGGTTCATTTAATTAAAGCAAAACGGCTCTAGTTTTCACTGAATTAAAGGACACTACATCTTAAGACGCGAAAAATAGAGTATCAGTTTAAAGAACCCCTAGGTTCCAAAGTCCGGTTAACATTAAGAAAAAACATTGCATGCAAGGTTTTTCATATGTATAATTTAGTTTTCATGACTATTTGAGTGTAACACGTGTTTAATGAATGAGAGACATTATGAATCTTACATCCAACACAGAAAACCAAAGAATATGAACGATACATGGCAACACAACTGTCAACCTTCTAAATAACCAACAAGAATTGGAATTAGAATATGCTGTGAAGTTTGAGCTGTTTGTTTTTATCATTTTATTGATATTTTAGAAAGCTGATTTTATGCACCAGTTAGTTTTTTAAGCAAGATCCACTGAACAATTTCTCGTGATTTCATCAATTTATAAACCTAAATCAGTGTGACCTCCAGTTTTACGTTTAATTTCTACGATATTTCTTGTCATCGTGGCACAATTTACAGTTGCTTAGCTAGTTACCATGTCACCCAAAGTTGGAGGGCTAAAGTACTGCTAGAGTGCACAATCTCAGACAAGAAAACTGAGTGCAGAGGTTGTGTTCGAACCTCGGGTCATCCGGCCAGTAAGTTCGCGCCTTAACCACTGGGTGACATGAAGCGCACTGTACTCAATAAATGGATGTATCTGTAGCCTACAGGCGTAGACTGTCAAAGCTTTTCATGGTGTATTTGTCGAAATAAATACAAAATATCTATAAAGCGGATCTTTTTAAGTCTGGGTAAATAACTGAACCAAACTGATGCAGTTCAAAAAGGTTGCAATAGGCTTGGCTTTATAAAAGTATGTGGTTCTGTTTACTCTATATAGCATCACTACAATTAGACAGATCTTAGTATTTGAATACCGATACCTTACCGTTTTGCGCAGCACCCAAAATAAACTTTTGTATCGAGCACACTTATCACAATTGAAACAAGTGGATCAAATTGTTTTTTGTGACAAAACATAATGAAATATGTTGGACAGTTGTTAGAAGTATTCGACCACATGTCAACTATGAGCAAATTATGGTCAGTGACAAGAAGCTTTCAATTATAACACCCTCTTTGCATGAAATATAATAAATGTTCGGCTGTAACACCCTTTTTGCATAGCAGTTGTGCCACATTAAGGAAGCATGAGGGCTAAGATCCTGTCAGGTTGCTCCACCTCAGACAAGAAATCGATTTTCTGAGGTTGGATTTGACCAACAAAACTTTCAAATAGTAAGTTTGTTTCCTAAAAACTGAGATATCTCAAGCAATCTGTGCTGCCTGATGAAACAGGGGGACTTGGATAGTGCTGAGTTTTTTTAAAGCCTATAAGACGCTAAGATTGGTTCAACCCGCAGACCTTAAGGCCAGCAAATTCATACCCTGACTACTAAGGCATTTCTGGCTCCAGTAACAACTTACTAAAAAGGCTTTCGCAATGTCCATTGCCTGTCCTCCCAAAAGCATAAAAGTTTGATACCATATCCATGTTTATTGACAAGAAAGTACCAAACACAGAAGGCAACTTAGAAAAGAACAATACCACACTAAAGCGTTTTGAGTGCTGTGTAACCAATCTTTCTTAATTTACTGACAATATCTCAAAGTACACCTTAGCATGCTACTGTTTCCTCGATTTTTAATTCCGAATCAGTTCCAAACGTGTTGCTCAATTTTTATTATATATCACAGGTGTTTTTGGTTTTCTGCAAAGGGATCCCACTTTTTGGTGTTTCTTGCAGTCTTCTGATGACTTTCGTTATTTATGTTGCGCATCACACCCTGAGCTGCGCATTAATAAAGAGGTGTTCCCTGGTTAACATTATTAGAGAAAATGTGCTAGACTGATGCTACTAAGTTATCCTGGCTTCTAAAGTCCTTTCATTCTGTTTTAAAACCTTTAAGATAGCTTTCCTTACTTGAGGAGTCAGGCATCTGCGAGCAATCAATTATTGAAACTAGATTGTTGCTAAGCTTAGTTTAAAAATTGCCAAGGATTATGTTACATAGTGCCCTGTGAGTCACCTAAAAATTCATGTATCTGGTAACGTACCTTACCAATTGGCACCTTTTCACGGGTGTCAGTGCTTGACCTCTTTAGATAAATTACATAAATAAAAAATCAGAAGGCTCACTGGTGCAAAGTACAAAGCTTGTATGCGGATGGTTGTCGTGGTTGAGCAAAGCTGAGTTACGGTAAGCAATTGCTAGGGATTTCGAAATGCCAAAGAACCGAATAAGATAAATTTTGAAAACAAACCTTCACTTCTTGTGCCACTCTAGTGCTTTATACGGCGTTTTATGCTCGTGCTACTATGGAACGCATGGCAAATTGTAACTCGGCAACGCAGCACAAAAAACAACCAGTTTGCCAGTTTATAAATCTACCCATACTATTTGGCTTGTACACTTGCCTATGCCATGTAAATATTGCTATAATGCAATGTACAATTACTGCTCACTTTGACTTCCTGATCGAACTAATTATTGACGGTTGGCATTCAGTAACATCACGCACAATTAATTTTTTTCTGTGTAGGTTTCCGTCTTATACTTACAGACGTACTCACAATAACGCAGAACAATAAAGTACAATAACGTATTACTTCGCCGCAAGTGACTTAAACGGAAAGCTATATGATATCACTCCGTAAACCTCAACCAGGTAATTGCGCATCTTTGTGAAAAACACAAATTTAATCTTTGATCCAGAAAAATACCACGAAGAAATATTCCGATACCAGTGTGCATCATTTGAACCTTGGAAAAGAGGCACCTATACATGTCAGTACGTACTTTCATTGCAGTGTCGAGTATCTGCTCCAAACACCTGCCGAATTCTTCTATGACAAAGCGTTCCTGTTGCGATGGAGAAGAATCCCGTTGTTTTGTCTCATCCAGCTGAGCAAGCATGCAACTGCAAGCGGCTTCAGCGACTTCTACTGAGAGGAAACCGGTGGATATACTAATTGGAGTTTTGATAGTTTTGGCGCTACAAAACTTACACTGATTCACCAAGGCATTGTTCGTAAGGATAAAGCTCGCCCGCAACTTCCGTACTCTGTCCAAACGCCTGAGTTGCATGCGGAAGAGCAACAAATCCACCATTGTTTCCCTCCTGGAAGTTTCCTTGGTTCGAATGAGGGAAACAAAATAAGGATCTGTAAACAATGGGGAATCAATGCGTTAATTTTTGAACTCACTTCTTATGTGCATAACCGCCCTTCTGCTTACCAAGATGAAGCGACTCTATCTGCGTATTGCCTCTGGAAGCACACCCATTCTCCAAATTCCTACATCCTTGGCATCGACAAAGATCAGAGCAGCTAATTTTTGCCTTTAAAATTAAAATGCTTTCATAGAAAATCTACCTCGTAGCATTCACAGTAGTTTTTTAGGCAGCCGGATCGTTTGCAGTTGCACCCTTTCGAGTGTTTCCGATCATTTTCACCTGATGTGAACATGTTTTTACTTTAACCACCTACCTATTTTTGGGTGAAACGCAAAAGGATTCCTTTCAAGAGTCAATTTAATGGCTCGCCTTCTGGCGTCGTCGTGAATAATATTATTCATGCAATTACTACAGTTGCAATTATCACAAGCATTCCCCCTTGCGAAGCATTCACAATAAAGCTTTAAGCAATGAGACTTGGCGCAGTTGCATGGCTTCCTGTAAGTTGTACTAAAGTTGACAGAGCCACTCATTCTTGACGTAGAATCCAATTCTGCCTTTTCGTCGTGGGTTAAAGAACTATAGAGAACCTAATCAGGTTAGATTTTTAGGATATCGCAACTGCAGAATACCTCCAAAGAACCTCCCACAGGTCCATCAAATGTAGGTGCAAAATTAACAGCCTCTTGATCTGGTAATGTACTCAGTGAGCACTTTTGGTCGGATTCTTCATAAAATAGTTCATTCATTACCCCACAACCTGAGGTCATAACGGAATCTAAAACAACATTTGAAGGCAGCGCGGCTTTGAGGTTTACACGGCCCGCCTTTCTTTGTTGAGTTCAATGTACCATTAATTACAAATACAGCCACATTTCGACACAGGAGTATATGGCCACTCGCATCTAGTAGGACGATATTTCATCCACAAACAGTGAGAGAGAACACGGATACCATGTAAAAGTCCTTGAGGACCATGGAATGGATATAACCGGGTCCGGTTGCGTCGTCAAGGTATTAAACTTACAAGGGGCGCATCAAATAATAGGATGGGTTGAACGAGGAAGAGTTTAAATCAGTGAGCTCAGTGGTGGTGTGAAGACACTCAAGCACTTTGGAGCAAGTGTGTCCTATCCTACCGGTTTCGTCGATTCTGGATACATGTGTGTGGGTTCTTCTTCCATTTTTGCTACGTAAATTGGAAGAGAAAAATTGGACAGCTTTCGGCTCTGATCAGAAGCTAGGTATCACTGATATGGTATGTCTGTAACGCTTTGAAGGTCAGGTAGGCCTGACAATTGACGTCAATCTGGAGTCAGGGGTTAAACACTCACGGTACAGTCGCGATAAGGTAAATTTAATGGTGCTTATTTGAATGTGAGCAGAATTGAAGCTGTAAAATTTTTAGGGTCATGGTAGTGTTATTGAGGTCCTCACCACTCGGACTAAGGTCTAGATTGTTACCAATTCCAGGAGAGGAGGTGTCCGTGGATTGTTGCAGATTCCACCGACGATAGCAAGTTTAGGCATGCCAGAATGGTGTGTAAAGTTATAATAAAATGCCACTCATCAAAGTAGCACATCGCAGTGACCTCAGTACAGCGAAAAGCTAGCTGTGACGCCGAGGACCACGGTTTTCCATCGATAAAAAACATATACAAATCTCGATGACGTTGACGGGAAAATGTTTTGACTGAAACGGTGGGGGAGCCATCCTGTCGCGAGTATAGTGTTCACGAAGAATAAAACTGCAGAAATCGTGAGCTGTTTACCAGAATGATATTGCCAGTGAGTATCAGAGAATGCAGAAAATCTGGGAAGAATTGCGTCATCTGCTCGAGCGAACGAGAAAGTTCGAAGAAATTTACAGTGGTGCGGTCTATTGGGTTCGCAGCTAATTCGTTCGTGGGCAGGAAATCGCCGATCGATTTCCGGTGTTACCAAGAATGAAGCAACAATGTAAGCATTTGTAGCAAGCAAAAGGCTGAAGTAGACATATTCCGTCTGACGGTTGCTTTGATTCCAAACCATGATGACCATATAAATGAGCTTCGATAGCACTAAGGTTTACTACATAGGCGGCCATTTTACTAACAACCTCAGGTTTCGACAATCGTTGTCTCAGAACCAGAGCCGATGTGCGTTAGTGTCAGCGAATCCGGCGATTAGAAAGCGAGTTCCCGGGTATGCAACGGGTGCTTCCATTGAAGAATGTGTCCATCACCAGAAGCTGCGTTGGTTAAGCCATATGTTGCGCATGCCGAATCATCGTTTGCCGAAAGGAGTGTCGCTTTCCATACCCAACTCACAGTGGTGGAAGCAGACAGGTAGACAAACGTTCACACGGCAGAGGGTTATCAAAGAGATTACGAAACGTTTGCGTGATGTTGATGTTACTCGCCTTCCAGGATGAAGACCGCGCGATTCCCGCTGCCTAGTTTTGTAGATTGGCGTGACAATCGCTTCCTTTCAAGCAGAAGGAAGGCGGCCTTCGTCAAGCGACTGACGAAACACCATGTGTAAATCATTTGCCAGCGTGGATGACGCTTCCATCAAGATCCTGACTCAGCTCAAAAAATAGAATAACCGTCTATCGAGATCTCCGCGTCAGAGACATATGGTATGAGACAGCTCTGTGTGGTCGCGATTGTGGACGGTTGTTTAAGGCAAACTGATTGTTTAACATCGCCGAGTTTTTTGCAAAGGCTGAGGCAGTTTATGGAAATGCATTTCAACGCTGTCTGTGCTGCCTCCGAGGGCGAGGAGCCAAAAAATGGGTGACCAGGTTGGTTAGAAGACTTAATAGTTGTTCGCCAGGTTTGAGTCCAAGGCTCCAAAGGGGCCTCTGGGTTGATGTTGTCTGCTTCCTGTCTTTGTGGTTTCTGGGGGTGCTTTTCGCTAGCGAGGCTTTTTTCATTCCGTGGGAGCCCGGTTTGCTCGGGCTTTTTGGCTTTGGGGGACGGAGTTTTTTTTCGTGGGCGAAAATTTCGACTGATGCTGTTTGTGTCTCTTTCAGCACCCCTCTTTTCTTCGACCGGATTTGCTGTTGATCAAAGCGTTGCTGCAAGCTTTCGGCTTTCTGGATTCTTGGGTGTTGTGGCGCGGTTTGACCGGAGGAGTGTTTCTGTGAGGCCATGAGCGCTGGATTGTGACACCAAGAAGTATTGATTTTGGTGGCGCTTCCAAGGGGCTCGTTTTCGCGGAGGACTGCACCTTGAAGCCAGCCAGCAGCTTTTTAATCTGGCGATTTTCATGTGGCTTATTTGGCTACAGTCGCTCTTCTTTCGTGTTCGTGTGGACGTCCGATCCGCTAGTGATCAGCGCAGCCAACTGGATGTACGATGGATTTTCCGGATGGCTGTAGTCATGTTTATGGCTTTGGTTGTCGGGGTGCTGGATGACAGTTGTGTCCACAAGCAGAGAGACCGCTTTTGACGGAGTAGAGCTGGAGATTAGCTTCGCTTCTTGTTCCCGCACATCTGACTCAGTCCAGTTCAGGGGCTGTGAATTGTTGTGGAGTGCACGGCTGCAGCTGTGTCCTCTGTTACGGAGGTAGGTGTTGATAGCTGCTCACATGTGGGGTATGCCTCCCCCATGGCATCCGTGCCTTTGGTGGGCGAGAGGCCTGTGGTGGTCGAGTAAAAACTGCTGTCCGGAGACGCAGCTGGTTTCGTCGGCCTGCTTTCGGGAGCATAG